GAGTAAAAAGGAGGGAGTTTTAAATTTCGACTCTTACGCGCGTGAACCAATCACGGATTCTCGCCGATCCATACAACAGATCCAAAATACACTGAAAAAAATCTACTATTCCGCACTCCTCGGTGAAGAAATTGCTCAAATTATCTTGAAAGGTGATGGCACTTCCAATGGAATAAATCTTCAATCCAGTAATAGCCAAAATTCCTCAAACTTTTGGCCAGAGTTTGCGCGACCACTGGACCACGGCCATTGTCAATGAATCGATTACCTCAGTCCATCATAAATAAAAGCAAAACTGCATGAAAGGTAAATCGCCGCATAAGGCTCGCCGCAAAAACACACAAATGAACGTCTGTGCACTAATAAATTAACCAGTGCCCCGATAAAAACTCAAACTTTCGTGGGAAAAGCCTGAAAAAATCTTGAATGCACCAAAACCACTGTCCTTCCCGCTTCTAGCCGTAAAAGCCGTTCTGCGGCAGGTATAACAATGTTTTCGACCCTAAGATGAACGCCACAGTCCGTAGATTTAACCCTTCCGTGCGCTAGAAAATTTACCATCCGTCAAGATGATCCCATATGCCAATAAAACCCTCCATTTTGGTATGTACCACCAAATTGCATTCATCACATCGAGCCTGAACTTTTACTTCAAACACGAGATACAGCACTAAAGCGCTGAGCGAACTGCTATAGAGAAATGACTTGCAATCTCTAATGTTTGTTTCAAATTTTCCGACGAAAATGAATAAAATTACCCCAAACTTCCCTTGAAATACATGATATAGCCTTCTTAAATATTCTGATTTACTCCTGACCATCACAATCAATAACTCTGAGGAAAATTGTTAAATAAGCTATATATTATTATGATCAACATATACTTTCTTCTAAAATACCAAACGATTTGTAATTTTGCTCTAGAGGGGGGTACGAGTATTGTTCGTATGTGAACTGTTGAGGACTGGGAAATGTTTCGTGACTTTAAAGCAAGAAACTTTTGATACTCTTTGTCTCGAGAACACAGTTGAAAAAACCTCAGGGGATGAAAAATGATTAAACAGCTTAAATTTTGTTTTAGTGAAAAAAGATATTTAGAGCTTCTCACGCTACAGAGAAAGAAAAAAAAAATAAAAACAATTTGTCTCTAACTCTGATCATTGCCGTATCCCAACAGTGACCTGAAAATTGTAAGCAAACCATCTCTGATTTCCTAAATTCAATCATGATTATTGTCATCTTAACAAACAGATATACCCTATGGAAAAATAATACTGGATCTTTTAATTTGTGTTTACCAGGATCTTAGAGAGCTGGTCGTGACTGAGAAAGTCTTCCCACAAACGTATTTTCATTTCGTGACATTTGCTTTCGTGACAATTTCCCGCCAGATTACTGAAAATAATAATTATGCACACGTTTCCTTGAATCTATCGAAGTTAATCCGTTAATGAAGAAGGTGATTTTAAATGCTTGGTTTCCCCTTTTATTTTGTTTTGATAACAGTAATGATGATTGTAACGTATACGTATTTTATCATTTTCTTTCGCACCTCAAAATATCAACTGCGAAAGCAACAGAGACATCTACTCAAAACTGAAACATGAAAATGAAATAGGAAAAACGGCAATGTTACCGCATCCACCTTCCTTCCTTTCATACGTTATTTTGCTTACTGAGAAACACATATGTAAATAGATAAACAACAAGGAAATATGTAATTCATGAAACAGATATGAGACGTTGAAGTGCTTTTGTGACTCCCATAGCCTATTTGGGTACCTGGTAACTATGAAGCTTTCCCTGACAAGTTTTCCCGAGGAGTCAAAATCGAAATTTATTACAAGTCTTCCTTTGGTAAGTCTCCTTGACAAGTTTACCCGAGGATTAAAAATCGAAAATTTATGACAAGTCTTTCTTTGGCCTTAAGTCTCCTTGTTCAAATATTACAATTTCAGTTTTGAACTACGAGATTTGTCGCAAAATAATTATTCCCGAGCGTGGTATGCTAAAGTAAATACGGTTGAATTTAATTTTTTTCGTTTGTTTGTGTGTTGTGAGTGGAAAATCTATATTGCAAAGCTACTTAGTAATTTTTGTCTACACACACTTCCTGAAAGTAGAAAATAAACATAGAGTACAACGAGGAAAAAGGAGTAATTATGTTTGTTGGAAAGTATAAGTATAAGTACCAATGTGGATATGGGTCGGTTATCAGAAGGATAGCACTTTAAACTGATCGAAGAATGCCAGGGAAGTCGACGTACAGAAGTTACGGATCATGATTTTGCTACGCCCTCAAGAAAATGAAAGAAGTTTCTTGGCTGCAAAATATAAAACGTTTTAGCTTAGAGACCATAATTTATACCAGGGGGCGGGAAGGCAAAAAAGGGTGTGGGGAAGCACATAATATGTTCAGCAACAAGCTCTGGAAGGGTTGTGGTGTCAAACGAACAACTCTGAGATTCACTCTGAAGATGTAGCCCGATTTCCGTCTTTAAGGATGCCATTTTGTGAATTTCTGACGCTCCGCCTCAAGAAAGTTACAAGGAGTCACGAAGGAGTAAAATTGGAGCTGTATTTATCTATTTTTGTACTGTTTAAGTCCTCGACGTTTCCAGGGTCAGTCTTGTTTCTACTCGGCTAAGGAGACCCTAGGAACTTGGTTTAGAAATAAGTAGAAGGAATTCCAAATGACGAGAAAGGGAAAGATTTCCTACGCAGTCTGGATCAGTTAAAGATTGTTGTGAAGTACCGAAATGCATGCAAGTGTGACAGAGTCCCGCGCGGGTTTTTGACAGGCCTGGCATTTTTGCAAATCAGCACATAGGAGGGAGAATGCAAATTTCGTTATTCCTTGAATGCTCTTTTTTTAAAGTTTTCCCCATAAGTCCACATTCAAATTTAGGATGTGCTGTTCAGTGGGTTCAGCAATCCTAATGCTCTTGATACCTAAGAGAGTCCATTTACAAAGAAACTGATGGTCGCAGCTAAAAAAATTGTCCGCAGAGGTTACTCTGTGCTGTCTTTAGAGCTACGGTGATTAAGCTGTTTGACTGTTTGGCTGTTTTTTTGGTGGCAAAGGGTTTTTGTGTGACGCATGATGGCCCCAAAATTTGCTGGGACCCAAATTATCTGCGTGACGCGGGACCCGACATGACAACGTAATGCGTGATTTTCTATTTTACAAGCGCATGACGCGTGGTTTACAAGACTTACTAATTAGATTTCCGTGATAGTGAACGCTCCTTGACTTAAGAGTAAACCAATCATTCAAAGCAAAAAGAGTCTTAACAAAGATCAATAAACCGTGGCAGCCGTGACACTGCTTTGCTGACCTTCGCTTGACCTTTGATGTCTTTGACCTTCCTGGTTGGTCCAAACAATCATAGCACATTAGGCATAAGTTAATATACTAAACATTTGCACAAGGACTATGACCTTCAGTGTTATTTTTGTCGACCGCCTGGTCGTGATGGTGCGCGAGATCGTATCCAGAAAGACCAGAAAGTATCCGAATCCATCGAATGAAAGATCCAAGAGAATGTCAACCCAAATGACTGAAACTGTAAAATACGTCAGAGTTTTGGTGTCGTTTTGTGCCGCCCGAGAGGATGGCAATGTAAGCAATGAGTTAGTACACGGGGAAAACAATTTTGACCAAGACGGATTCAAAAGCCACGTTATATCGTTTACTGAAATAAATACAGTTGCCGTACAGAAGGGGATTGGGCAAAACATTCACATAAATAGTAAAGGTGGCGTAGAAGTCTACTCAATCTTGGAGCCAAGAGTGGCCGTAAATTGAAAGATAGCCAAATTAGCAAAGTCCATACTAGTTCTCTGGATAACTAATGGGCCATAAATGAGTTCAAACCTCGAAAAAATTGTCAAAACTACGACTACTGACTTATTAAACAACAAACTATGACGACTATGGTGCCCAGACGAACACCTCAGAAGCTGAATTGAAAAAATAAAAAATCTTCGTGAACAGAACTTCGAAGGTGAGGCAAACAACAAGCTATTAGATGAAGAGGATACTTAACGAAGCAACTCGAAGAGTAAATACCTAGGCTTAACTCTTGTGTTAAATATCCTGATTCTTTGATTTGTTTTTACAGTGTTCTATATTTGTAAAGTACGATTTGATATTGCGATACGAAGCCCGAGTAAACGCTCTCGGAGCGTCTCGTTTCGACACCTGAGTGGTCTTTACTTGTCTAACCAAAAGCAATAGACATATTAAACGCAATTCATTCCAGGATAAAAACCGTTGATTGCAATATAACTTTTAATGATACATCCGATAGGTTGAAATCTTTACTCTTTTTTACGTGACGCGTGATTGGTTAAAAAAAAATTGTCCTTGATGGGTGATTTAAGAGAAAAATTCCGCGTGGTGTGTGATTGGAACTCCCTTTCCCACCGTCATTTAATGGCTTGCACGATCACCAGATCCTTGCTTCCTGTGTCCAGTTTTTCTTCATTGCATAAATTGAAAAACAAAGACTGCTGTTAAAGTGATCTGCCATACAAAACTTACTGGAAAATGGACGCCTGCTTTCAAGACTGGCGATACTCAGGAGTTCAAGAATTACAGACCGATAACTTCCTTAATAATCGTTGACAAAGTGTTCGAACAGTTGCTAAGAAAAAAAGCGCCTGAAAAACTTGACCACAGTCTTTTTCAACCGAAGCACGCCACTATGTTTGATTGGGGACTGGAAACTAGAATAAATGGAAAGGAGTTCGTACGAATTCTAAATAACCAACACATAGCCTCTATTAGGCGCGAAAATATACACGGAAGAGAAGAACGTAAAATCAGTGGCCATGGCCTGGATTACTTTCAACGTTGATATGATGAAGAAGGGGTTAGCGGACTTAAATGGTTGCATTCTTAGCGCACGTTTTGTATCGCTGGGGTGGTATCTCCCTCCCCAAAGGAAACTTCTCTTTGTGAAATGTCATCTTAAAAACCGAGCAGAAAACGTTATAAAAGCATTGTCATTTTATTTCGGGCAAATAAATGAGCTACATGGTGTTTTTCATTTAATCTAATTTTAGAAGTGCTGACCTTACCATTAAAAGCAAAATATTACCATAAAAAAATGAAGTGGAATTCTTATTTCTGAGTGTTGTTCTCAACTGAAGACAACTCCCTAACTGTTATTGGATATCTTTGTTATTGAGGGTAAGCACTGCAACAGCAGTTTATCACACCAACAGTTTACCAAATGGCTAAAGCAAGTAGCTCCCAGTCTGATCTTAGAAGTGTAAGGCATACAACAAGCTACTTTTAATTTTTAATCATTAGTACTATAGTCAAGCAAAAGGCTCTCTCTTGGGGGTGTGTTTTGCCTTCAGTTCCACACATGGTCTGTGCAATGTTTCAAAGCCTGGAAAGATAAAAAGCACACATTTTTGCTCTATATTAAAAACGATATTACATCTCAATGTGACAATTTCCACTGATCCAAAAGCGTTATCTGAGTCAGAATAATATTGTGTGACTGATCTTGAGACAGGGGTGAACGTTAATTTTGTACAAACTTTTAACCACTCCTGTCACATGTTGACCAAAAATTGCTAAAAAAGTTGCAATACTAGAAAAAAAAAATGCGAGTTGTAACAGTAATCTACTGGCAAATTCCAGAATGTGGCAAAATGTGTATACCATAGAAAAGGTTGAACAGATTATAGAAAATTTTCCCAAATTACAATAGAGGGCAGTTGAAAAAATTTTGTTATCATTTTGAAGGCATAGAGGAATCAGATGGACATTCTGCTTTTGACATGCCTTCAACTTTAACACAAACTCACAAACTTGAATTCATTTTTTACAAAATTCTACCAAGAAATGGGCATAGGTTGCTCCACTTGACTTACATTGCATTGGATTGCATTAAACTTGTTTTCACACCAGTATGAGGCACCAAGGAAACAGAATTTGCCCTCCTTTTTCAATGTCACCTTTTTAAAGGCAGAGCACAGTCCAATTTCCTGAAAGAGGAGGTTTGTTAGCATAGCTCAGCAGAAAATACACTTTCAACTGCACAGTGACAGTTGAGTTTTTTAGGGTAGACCACTGCAACACCATAAAAAGGGGTAGACCATGAAAGAAACTGGTTGCATCAAACACATATCTTCAATGTACAAACTGAAGGTGAAAAATTCATGACATTTTTTGAGTACACCAACAAAGCACAAGCTATTTGGCAAGACTTGACTCCCTTCTGAAGATAAAATGTCAAATAAGTGCCCCCCCCTCACTTTGTTATGTTAGAAAAAAACTTACCTCACATAGGGTTTCTGGATCACTTTCTGCAATCAGATTCAGAAGGGCTGGTCCGTACTCAGTCACAATGGCAGTGCACTAGTGGATATTCAAAGGTTAATTTTTTTGGAGTGATTGATGTGTTAGACTAACCTAATTCCATTTTATTTAGACATGAATCAAAGCTAGACAAGAAAGAAAGTAAAAATAATCAGGCAACTGTAAATATTACTGTTAAGTACCTGTATACTTAGGTTACAAGTCATAAGTATTGCCAAGAATTTCATATTTACACTGTAATTTGACAAGTAAGCTTATTACTAAATGTTCTACAACAAGAGAGTAAAAGAAAGTTTATAAGTTTGTGTTTTATACCTCAGAAGAGAGCTGCTCTGGCAGATAGCTGCAAAGTTGTTTCAATACATTTAAAATCTCTTGCTGAGAAAAGTAAACAAACATAAAATCAACTAATCATTCATTGAATGTAACAGGAAATAACACCTATGACAAACACACACAAAAAAGAGCAATTTAAATAAAGTGGTTAACATCAGAAGGCTGGTGACTGGGACCTATTACTGAACAAATGCACAGCAATCTATTTGTCAAATGTATACATCACTGTCATGTACCTGAGTTTCATTTTCTGCCAGAAACATCTTCAAGTAAGTCATGACAGTGTCACAGATTTCACAAGTCTCATTACTCTTTGGAAGATGAATCTTTGGCTTCTCCATGGCTAAAGACAAAAGAACAACCAAGTATGTGATATCTAAGTTGTGAACAGTTGTTCATAATACAATTTATTTCTTCATTAAAGATTATCTTGGTATGGCAGTGGGAAAATTGCTCTCATTAATGGAATGGGTAAAAGAGGGGCAAAGTCTAATCTCACGAGCAAGTGTCCCCTCTTCAATGCTCTCATTTTAAAGGGAACAACTCATGCCAATCTATTAAAATAAGGATTCTTCATGTAATGCATTATGAGGTTTCTCTGTAAAGTGCTTAGCTTTCCTTAAAATATCTCATATTTTTAAACTTAAGATCAATACATATTCTACTAGTAAAGAGAGATTCTAGACAATTCTTATTGACACAATAATGACTTTACTACAAGTGATCAATTATGTAATTGTAACCAAAGGCATGTTAAATCTCCTTTCAAACTCAACATTGACTTAAAGATAAAGGTTAGTTAAATACAAGAAGATTTCACTTTCAAAGCGATTTGCAAAATATGGTAAAATGCTTCTCTAGTAACTTGAAGTGCTTGTGTATGCTTAAATTATGGTAATATAAACAAGTGCCAATAAACTCAACACCACACTGTTCCATTTTGCTCAGCAGTTTTTTTAATTCACCTTGTTTTTAATAAATTCTCAGAAATAAGAGATTACCTTTTTGGGATATTTCTATCAGTCGGAATTTTACTTCTTTAACTAGAAATGATTAGAAATCTGATTTTTGACCTTGAAAATGAGAGGTCCACTTATACACAAGTTCAACTTGTACACCAGTAAATATGGTAACTCTCTCACTCCCCTGTCAGTGACCAAGACAAAATTTCTCCTTACAATTTCAATACAATATCAAGCAGAAAAGCGATGAGAACTAAGAAATATAACAATTCTTAAAAGAGGATTGTTAGTTTATCTTATACCAAATTCTCTGAACCAACATCATACAAATTGTATGGTCGATAGTAAGGAGAAATGTTTATGAGATCTTAGGAGTGAAAGGGTTAAAATGTACAGCTAAATAACCTTACTTGAATACATGTTGTTGGTAAGGGACTTATGTTTTTCTAGCTATGGACATCTTCCATTTTAAAGTACCTTTACCTTTTGCCTGACTTGTGCAAAGTTGAAGCGCTGTGCAAACTTCTTTTGGGTCAAGTTCTTGGGCAAGGATTTGCAAGATTGCATCACTATACTGATTGATAAACTGGGTACACTAGGAGCCACAAAAAAAAAAAACCCAGAGCAATTTTAGAGCCTACAACATAACCAAAATAATAAACTACTGCAAGCCTATGGTGAGATCAAACAGGCATGATCTTTGCAAATAATAATAACATTATTGCTCTTTTTACGATGCAGAAACTTTAGATGTGTGATCCACAACTGTAGTGACTACACTGGAAGGCAAATGATCATCCTTCACAACAAGACTGGTGTTAAAATTTGGGAAAAAAGTATCTTTACAAGATGCAGAAAATTGTTAAAGATTCTGCAATGCACTGCATAGCTTGGAGTGACTTTATCCTTTTATTCTAGCTAAAATTTAGGATAGAAATGCAAAGCTCTTACTATAAAAATAGTTCTTACTTCACTAGAGATTGAAGATGGTAAATAGCTGCAAACTTTGTCCAAAGCCTCCTCAATTTCTTCCTGAAGAAAATAAGTTAAATCTTATGAGCCAATATATAAAATCGCAAACCAGAAAGAGTATAATGTTGGGCTGCATGTTAACAATATAATATAGAATAATAACAAATCTTGATGCAACCTTATTCTACAAATACAGTCTGTCCACAGCTTAGTTGAAAACATCTTCCGTTTAAAGCGCAAAAAGTTTTTCTCACATATCCACATTCCTTAATCTTCAACAAGATACCAATCACAATCACACAGTCAAATGATTTAAGTATCTAACCTCTAAATAACGGAACTGATCATATAATCTGACAATAGATCAGTGCTACTAATCTGATTTGTTACTAAATAGACATAAATGTCTTAGGGAAGTAAAGCTGTATAACATAAATCCAAATGATAAAAACTGTTAGTGAACCCCTGAAAACAGAGTTTCTAAAAGGGTAGGGTAACAACAATCATTGTTTTGAAAAGACACAGTATACTGCAAATACTGGTGTGTAATCTGCACCCCAAGATTGGCAACTCAAATTCTGGAAAAAAAAGTTTGCAAAGAAATCAAAAGAAATAACAAGTGGACTGCGCAAAGTCACTAAGATGGAAAACTCTGAATACTTTCTGATTACAAACTGTACTAATCTAATAGGATAAAAACACAAAATGAAATTCGGCTCTAGAAATAAACACAGAAAAAAAAGTAAAGCTTGTATGCCAGTGTTCACTGAATATTTTGTAATTTGTTTTTTAATCCACCCCCATGTATCTATCTCCTGAATCTTTTACGCACCCGAGTGGCATTCTGCTTGAGGATAGAATCAAGTTTGTCCATGATAAACTCGCACAAAATACACTCCGCAGAGGTCTTGACTGGTTTGGATTTGACAACAACTGGCTTGTGCTTGGCAGCAAGAGCAAGAGGCTTCACAAGTTTTATCATCTGTTTCTTCAAAGGCTTGAAGATGAGCTTGGCGTCGACTTGTTTCACCTCACTTGAACATAATCCCAAAGTTGTACAGGCTTGCTGAGGATCAGCCTTTAATCAGAGAAAGTTTACATCTTACACTGTGTTTTTTGAGTTTGATTCTATGACTTGCAGATGTCTTCTTTGCATTGGTGACAATCTGACAACCTTCTTTAACTTAACAACTAGAAATAAAAATTCCCATGACTTTTCATTTCTTTACACTAATTAATTCAATTTCCTTTGAGGTTTGAAACTTTAAGTTTCTTGTCAGAAACCAGAAGAAATTTATTTTAAAAACAAATTAATACATCTTGACTGCATTGAAAAGGCATTCAATTTGGACATTTCTGTCAATAATAAAACCTTAAAAACTTACCAAGTATTCCAAAATGGTATTCATAAGCAGTGGTTCATACTGATCAACTAAGGACTTGCACTGCAATTAATTTAAAGATATTTGTCAATGAGTCAAAACAATTGAAAACTTAACAGTCCAAAACTATATCTTAATTCAACTGATCTGTAATAAGTTTCAATTGTGCATATTTTGGACATACATGTAGAGGATAAAATCAAGCCAATTACTTCAGGCAAGCAAATGATAATAGATTACCATCTATGGAGATCTGAAAATTATTGTAAAATGCATTTTGCTGCTTAGCTAGTAATTTGAAAGGTGATATCAAGACATTATGTGTGCCTTTAACCCTTTAACTCCCAGAAGTGATTAACTTGCAACTTCTCCCTATAATATCCGTACATTATCCAGCCATCAGGTTATGAGAATACTCAAACTTATCAGGAAGTTGTTACCTTGACCTAACACCAAATTCCTATAACTTATTTACAAGGAATTGTGTGCCAGTTAGAGGGGAGAATTAACAATCAGATCTTGGGAGTTAAAGGATTAAGGGATAAATGAAACCAACAAATTTTTTTTCTCAGTTTGTCTTGAGCTTGAATTTGTGGGTTAAGTTCACAACATCACCTAAGGTGACTGCTGTCACCAATGGAGATAGACTTTACAGCAGATAATTTCCTACAGCTTTTTCACTACACTGTATTTAGTATCTATAAGGAGCTGTGGTCCATCAACAAGTGTCTTCCTTAATGTTGAAACTTGCTGGGATATGGGAAGATTTTAATAAAGTTCTAAAAGGTGAACAGCTTCAGGCCTCAATATCTATTTGAATTGTCACCCACCACTTCTGCATAAGATCCAGCAAACTTCTCACAAGCTTCCTCTACCAGAGTAACAAGCTCTGTCTGAAAAATTTTTTGATATAGCTGTAACTTAGACGGTTAGTATCAACTTACTCTACAACTGTTAGGGTTAATGGTCCAGACTTAAATTTTACAAAATTGCATAGTTCTTTAAAACCTGCAATAGTCCACGATTCTCAAACATGAAGACAGAAAAGAACAATGCTGTTTTAATTTATTACTCTCATTTGATAGCATTCACAAACATTAGGTGTAACAAATTACAAAAACTTTTTTTGTACACAGTTTCACTTTTGTGTTACTTTATACTCTACTTGAGACTGAGTTAAGTTCTGAACAGTGTTTCTTTGTGAGGTCTTTAAATTCTACTAGCGGCTCTCAAAATATCGGAGAAAAACAAAAAGACATGTACAATCAAACTAAAATGACTGACTTACTTGAGTTGTATTTTTCTCCAGGTATGCTCTCATCAAAGGGTCAAGTTCTTTACAAACATCACAAGCTACCTGATAAAAGAGAGTGTGTACACATTTAGATTTCTCAACTTGATAAAAAGGCATTTTGCTTGGGATATCATTCTTTGTAAGTAACATTACATAACTTAGCAACTGTATTTAATATTCAATTAAGGGCCCTGACCCTTAGTGCTTACTTAACTTTTTGAGGAAGTGGGTACTTATTCAACACTGGGTGCTAATCAAATTTTCACCATCTTAAGATTGTATTAAGTTTATTTTGCGACTTACAACACACTGAATAATAACAATACTAAAAGATGAACTAAGGCAGAATCTAACAGTTCCTTGAAAGCTGTCTAAAAAATACTACAAAACTCCATCTTTAGGGGAAGTCATTTAGTAGTACTTTGTCAATTAAGGGGTGGGTGGTTATTAGAGGCTCAGTATTTGATAATTAACCTACCTTCAGGGTGGGCGCTTACTTGAGGTGGGTGTTTATTTTGAGGTTGGACCTTAGTCAATGGTAGTTATCTGTTAAGAATGCTGACGTATAACTTTAACTTATATATTTAGGTGCCTTTAAATATTAAGAATGTTGGCACCAACTCATCATGGGTAAAAATGCCCAAAATTCCCTCCAGATGTCTAGAAAATAAACAAAAAGGTGTTTACGTACCTCATCTTTTACAGACCAAACTTTAGCGCGACAATGTTCCAATGCATTGCATTCTACAGCTTGTTTGTACTTTGCACACCAGTAAGATGGTCCCCATGAACATCTCTCTTGTCCCAAAGGGGTTGCACTAGCTACAAAATATTTGTTTCAACAATAATAAGCCATCGGGGAAAATTCACAGTACTCACTACCCTTTATCTAATTCAAGTCTACCATTAACATACAAGAGTTAGGAACTATGGTTGTTTAAGCTGGAAAACATTGTTTTGCAAGTCTGCAAAATTGTTTCAGGCAAAGTTGTAACCTTATTTGTTCCATTCATATTCAATAAAAAAATCCCACATTCTAGGACCGAGTGCAAATTGAAATTTTTGCCTTTACATAAAATGTTTAGGTAGGGGCTTCAGTGAGTCCAGGGTGATTCTTGATCTTGACAAATTTTGGAATTTTCTTGAGGTTGTAAATTATTCTATGTAATTTGCACACCATTAACACTTGTGTATTTCAGTTTGCTTATAGGTAAAATTTGTTGAAAGAAATTTTCTTCCATGGCAGCATATTTGTCAAGATCAGATTTAAATCAAATACTTTTATCATATAAACTATGGTGTTATACAAGGATTTCTAGCCCTGTGAAAAAGCCCTAACAACACACATGAAAAAATACAATATTTTTACGCCAATCAGCTGCTGATATGTTGCTGGCCTTTTATACTATTCAGTCAGGTTGATGAATGGACAGCAAAGCCTTCATGATTCTCAATACAAGGCAGTTTGTCTGAAATTTTACAGATTATGGCTGCCAAAACACTGAAAAATCCCTATAGCTTACAGACAGTGACATTCAAACTTTCCTAGAAAGGTAAGAAAACCAAAATACAGAAAGAAAAACCAAAAGTTACATATTCAGTGGCTTTGGTAATGGCATTTCTTGCAGCTGAGAACAAAAATGACAACTGGAAGATTTGCCACCGGCCAATTTCGGCCGTGTATCTGAAAGATTTCTTTTGTCAATAAGGACCAAGTCAATAACTAAAAATTTTGTGTCATGAAAATTGTGCCTATGGTTTGTTTTTGTAGTGTTCCAACTAATTTTTTATATCGAGCCTTAGCGCCAACACACTTTGTGATTTTTATTAAGGGATTGTTCATCCTTTTATTTTCATTCATGAATAAAGTTGACTTTTCATTGTCAGTAAAGGGTTGTTGTGTTTATATGATAAACGAAATAAAACATGGTTGCTTGTGGATATGGAATTAGTCTTCTCATGTTCAACTTGACATCTCACTCGTTTGCTGTGCTCTCTCGTGAGCTATTGAGTCAAATACTTGAAGAGAAATTCCACATCTACACGCACCCATGTATTATTCTCTATTCATTAGTGTCTTTCATATGGTATACAAATTTATGGTTAGGGAATTAGTGGCTCGGAAGCAGGCAATATGGAGCTAAGGTAAATTTCCACAACCAAGATTCTTTTTCCACAACAGAAATTGTCTTCATTTTATTCTTTAATCTCACTATAATTTTGGAAATGAAATTTTTAAGTTACACAATTGACCAAAAATATTAAGTATTCCTTACTGTAAATTAGGGAAAGGGAAACTTTCATGGTGGAAATTGAAAATCAGGGCTAACCCTATAATTAGGGGTCATATCACAGATTTTAGTAAATTCACACCTCATGTGTTTGATGACAAGCCAACAGGCATAGTGAAAGGATTGTATTTAAGAAATAAACAAAACTTTCATGGTAAGAATCACCAGTTATTCCTCTTATGTCAGGAGCTGAAGAAAGGGTGAACCATAGTCAGAATAGTCCTTTTCAGACGTTTTAGCTAAAAATTTTACTACAATTAGTCCATGACATAACTCGAATGGGGCTGAATATAAACTTGTCCAGTCCTCTACATACTCCTCCCATCCCGTCTGGCAAGCAAGCAATCTCTTTAACTAACCATAAAGAACACAGTCGTAATGTCTAGACGATAAGTTTCAGTTCTTTGAACATTCCTTAAAGTGAATTTTGTTGTCGTGAAGTTTGGGCTCAGTGTTTGCATATGTCAGGAACTTGTAAATTGATAGTAGCTAAACAAATTGAGCCAGTTTTCAATTACACAAATTTAGCAATACATTCCATCTTCTTTCAGCAGAAAGATGGGCCTCGGAATTCGGAGAGTACCCAGAAATGATTAAAAGATTTTAATAATGGTTGCTCTATTTCCGGCATTAAATAGTGTGAAACTGAAAGTGCAGCAAAGGAAAATATGTTTTCCAACTGGCGATGAGTGGTATTCACGAATACCATCGATACTGGAGCCACAAAAATGTGATTGAGCTTTCTTAAACTTAGAGTAATGTCTCAGTTGGTAAGGAGCTCGCGGGTAATGCTAACTGAGGCAAAGAAAATTCGTTTCAGCGAAAATCTCCATTCTGAATGACATAATAAACTTAGGTAAAGTTCGGCCAGTTTAGGGAAACGTAAAAACTACTCGCTCAAAATGAACTCCAAAAAAGATTTGAAATGATGTTTAAAATCTCAAAATAAACTTACCTGAGGCAACGAAAAGCACAAAAGCTAAAGAAGCGAACGACATGTCGATGGGCTCGTCTGGTTGAACAAGAAAGTAATTTTCTAAGAGTGGGGATAAGGAGACTTTGACGCTATTTTTGTCGTGTCGATTGCAGCGTGATAATCACGAGACGAAGCACCTTATGCCAGCCAATCACTGATCACTTACCATCACATGATTAACATCTTACGGCACGTCCCACTCCCCACCCACTGTGCATCTGTGAGATTTGGCCGAAAGTTTAGTTTTTATTCGCAATTTTTGACGTAAGTTTTGCATTTCGGCCTCTTATGACTGGAAAACGTGAAAAGTCCTCGGTAAACATTTCCCCGTTACCAGTTTGAATGGTCTGTTAGGTAAGGAGGGTGAACCCACTGAACAGTTCATTGAGGTTAGTCCTCAATTCTCCTTAGGTAGCAGTAGTCTAAAATCAGTTTTATTCAAGAGAAACCCTAAAAACTTTTTAAAATAGACGACGAGGATTTCCTCGTCTCAGCGTTATCCACGAGTCAATAGAACAAGTAGGTGAAGAAAATATAGTTAATACCTCGAACTGAGTTGGAACTGAGTCCAACTGAGGGAATAGAAGAGACATTTTGAACGGTCGACCTGTTATATGAAGCTTACATAAAGTACTAACTTACTTCCTAAATTAATTCCCAGTGCCTTTCGGTTACATAATAAAACAAGGGAATGAGAACAGAATCATATCTATGTTTATTGTTGTGACTTTTATTGAAGAACTTTTAGCAGTACATACCCTTTTCAGCTGATGAACGTCAGATCGTAAGTATTTTGAAAGGAATAGAAGAATACAGTTAAGAGGAATTGTTAAAAGAGGACATGGATGGCCCTCAAGATGGTGCGAACGTCTCTGACAGTTCAGAGGACAGTCAACGGAAGACTGCTAAGATTGTGTCACATATGGCTTTAGCACACGAATTGCTGATGGATGATTCATTCAAACTTCAGACGGAACTTCCTCAAAACTCGTAAGATATTTTATTCATTTGGTAACTCTATTAATAGTACCCCAAGAAAGGGCTTTACTTTTTCATTTTTTTTTACTATTTATCACTACATCGCGAAATAGCAAGAACGATAAAGCGCGCGCGTGTTTACTTACTAAGAAAATTTAAAATTCGCGAGGATCCAGATGTACTTTGTTGGTGAAGACGAAATCATGGTAAAGTGTTTCCATCGAACAATTCTATTTTTGCCGAAAGTTTATCATCTCAAAGCTCGCGGCTTATTTACTTTAATTTCTGAGTTGTTAGTTATAATTTTCCCAGCATTGTAATTCATGAATGTGAATATCTGAAAATAATTCATATTCAACATTTTATAAAAAATTTCTTAAGGAATATTTCCCCCTATAAAATTGAAGAGCAGTGATCGGTAGGTACACTGAAGTCCCCTCCTTTTCAAAGAGAAACATAGATAAACCGAAGCGAACGTTAGAGGAAGTAATTTTGTATTCTGAACACAGTTGACACATTTTATGACGGTCTCTCACACGAGAGTAACATCATCATGATGTACCGATTCTCAGGAAAGAGTGTTTTTTGTCCATGAAGTGTAAAAAAGTTGACGTAGGAAATCATTGGCTGATGGATATTCTTGCCTTTTTGATACCTAATGAGTATTTCAGTCAAAAGCAAAATTACTTATTTAAAAAAAAGGGAAGTTTTATTTTCAATTATTTGTGTAAGAGCTTGTAATTGTTGATACTTCTTCCAGGTCTTTGTCACTAGCACTTATTGAATAGGAGAATGTCTATCCCCCCTTTATGGAATGCTAGTGCAGTGCAGGTAATCTCCAAGCATTCTTTGGTGTTGCCTTCTATGTCCCAAGGAAGAGAGAAGCACTGTGAGAGTAATTAAAAGCATCAGGCAGAGGATGATCTCTTGTTCCAGAATACAGTGCTCTGACCATCAGTCCACCATGCTCCCATTAATAGAGATACACACCATCCTTCCAAATATATTTTGAATGCTTATTACTATATCAGCAGCTACTGGGTCTGTTTGCAGTTACTGTAACTGATTCTGTTTGAGTGCTTAACCCTTTAATTCCCAAAAGAAATTGGGATGTAACCTCTCCCTATAACATCCATACATTATCTAGCAAACAGGTAATGATAATACTCAAACTTTTGAGGTAGAAGTTGTCTTGATCTACAACCAAATCCTCATAAATAGTTACAAGGAAGTGTGTAGCAGCTAGAGGAGAGAATTAACAATCACATCTTGGGAGTTAAAGGGTTAGCATTCTAAAGATAAATAATTCAAAACTATAATAATTATGGTTGTCTCAACATGCTTCTTTTTTTCTTTCTAGACTTGAAAGACAAGTTAGGGATGTTGTTCACAAGGCATTTTGGGATAAACTTCAGGAAGAACTTAATCAGAAGCCCCCAGTCTTTAATCAGGCATTATCCTTGTTACAAGAACTTAAGGAGGTAATCAATATATGATTAAATGAGTAAAGCAGAATATAGATAATTTGGTTTCATCAATGGTTTGGAAATGTAAAATGGCTATCATAAGGAGTTTCTGGAGCTGACATTCCGGGTGTTAGCCATTCATTAGAGCTGAATGTCGACTGACTGATGATATTAACAACACTTTTAGTTTAAAATTCAGGCAGAAAAGGGAAAACTCTATGACAAAGCTTTTTGTTACATGTTTGTTGGGGTGTATTGCAGTTAAGGGCTTTAGAACATTTCTGTGGTTATAAAAGGGTTTAAAAATAATATTAAGTCTACACGAGGGTATACAGTCAGGTAAATTTGCAAGAAGATGAGGGAAAGTAGTGAAGAATACATTCAACTTTACACTTAGTTTAGTAATTTCACACTTCAGTTCTTTGAACTTGACATCCAAAATGGCATTTACTTTGTGCTTTGTCCTGAGGAGGAGTAGGGCCATGAGAGCCAAATAGATTCAGAAAATCGGAGGACTGACAAAGAGTTTAGTTTAACTGTGCGTAAAAAGGACCAACCATAAAATACATAACGACTCATTTCAGAGTCACAGATTGTAGTGTTAAGGTGCAGAGTGCCAGCAACACATAACCACAAATAATTCAGAACATGTCTTTCCTTCCCAGGACACCTACATGAAAGTACATCTTGTTAGTGCACAGTGTACTGGGGTGTAGTTATTAGTAAGTGTAATGCTAGCTTTGGGGGGCCATAATTTTTTGAAGAATTTAACTTTAACATGGGGTAGATTTGTCATAATATTGCTCACATTTGCCCTGTTGATTTCACAGAACATTCTTTCATTGCTTCTCCCATATCAAAATTCACTCAAAACACACATCAATGAAATGTTGGACCTGGATCTTATAAAGCAACAAGCTGATCATGGTATTCTGGACATCTCTAAACTCGCACAATCTATTGTTGGTTTCCTAAGCAAAATGTGTGCGCCAGCAAGAGATGAACAAGCCAAAAAGATCCTATTGAATGAAGATATTGTGGACCTTTTCAGGTGAGCTGATAAAAAGTTGGAAAATATGAATTAACAAAAGGCATGAGTTTGAGCTTGAACCTGTATTATTGTTTCCTATTTTCATTCAGGGAAGTGTTTAGCTTGATTGATGCAATGAAGGTTGATATGGCTAACTTTCAGCTACAGACCATTAAACCTCATCTTATGCAGCAGTCAGTTGAGTATGAAAGGAAAAAGTTTAAAGATTATCTTCAATCCAATCCAGGTACTTAAATCACCTTTTGACTAAAAATTATTGAACAAATAAAGGCAAGAAAATGCTTGACCTTTTTAGCTTTTCTTGAGTGAGCTAGCCACTAAAATGGAAAAGTTGTGCAGCCCTGGTTGGAAGAACAGGTTGTGCAGGAAATGTATAGAATAGTACTGTATCTCTCTTTAATTTTTCCAGAGATTCTTTCATTATAACTAACATGCATAATGCTCCTATGGTTCATGTACTCCTCCCCATAGAGTTTCCATCAGTCTTAGGTGGCATGTTTTTTTGGAACTGTACAGCTACATTTGATAGTTTTCTGCCTTCTCTAGGAGGTCTCATGTCAACTAAAGTTTGGCTAAAACGAGCAGCAGAAGTAGCAACAGGAGTTGGCTTTAGGGCTGCTGCAGAAGTCTCTGCAGAAGCAGTTGACACCACAGACTTCAAACAGAAACTGCAAGATGCTGATCTAATTGATGTGTTGGTGCATGGGTATTTAGGAATAATCTTTGGAGAGGCAGGCTGGCCATTTCCAGAGGTAATTAAATGCAATTTTATGCAATGAAGATGTCACATTAGTTTTATACCTTTGAGCTACACTTTAGGTATTCAACGGAATTCTTAGACTTTCATGTAGCTTTGATGATTTCTACTTCATGAAAATTTCACTCCTAATACTTATGTCAGAATGCACTGAAAGCAGGTGAATTCACCCTCCAGTCGCAATCCACTTCTCAGCAGTTTTGTACCATTTAGCGAAAGATGTTTTATTGTCTTTTCACATGTATAGGATATAATAAAAAATTCTTAGTCCTATGAGGAATGGAACCTCGGAACTTCAGATTATGTGCTTTGATGCTCTTCTGAGCACTGAGCTACAGAGAACTCTGTTATGAGCTTAGCTGCTTGGTTCATTCTGGCCAAGTGTCCTTGCATCCTGCTTGGGTGAACAATATCAAATGTCTCGTATGAGTAAAAAGAACAAGAAAGATGGCAAACATTTCTGTATATTTCAATTTAGAAAATCTTTCTTATTCTATTTACTCGCAGACACTTTTGATATTGCTGATGCTAGCTGTATGCAATAATAAACCCAGTAATGACCTAGTTCACCAGAGTCTCTGTGACTTAGTAGTAATGCGTCAGAGAGCGGAATCCGAATGTCTGAGATTTGATTCGTCACGGAGACTCTAGTCTTTTTCTGTCTCATGTCCGTGACAAGATAAAAAAAAGAAACATCTTTCACCCCAATTTATAAGTCGATGTCAGAGTGCACAAAAAGTAGGTCGGCGTCCGCGTCTGACAAACTTCCGTGCTTAAGTTCCTTATTGTTTTTTCGCAGACCTTGATTATGGATGAATTCCGATTGGCTGAGATGAGGTGGAGTGTTCGGCGAACCACTCTGATTGCAGCTGTGTTACTGGTGACCCTGAACACTATAGGTCAGCAGTTAGCCTCAGATGCGGCATATTTAGCCAACCTTAAGGAAGTGCTGTACATTCTCTTGGATGGAGTTCCTGAAGGGTAAGGTGAAATTGGTGCATTTCTCACAATAATCAGAAAAAATTGACTCTATGTTATTCGTCCCACGCTCGTGAAAAGACGAACAAATACCCTTCTTTTTTTGATTACCAAGCTCAAAATTATCGTCTATTTTACTTTAGTTATTCACGCGACGCTTTCGACATGCTGCTCCAAGAAGTATACAGGACGCACGACATAAGTGAATCTTTTAAAAGGCCTAGCAAACCATAAAGTTCTCTATAGCTCAGTTGTAGAGCATAACGTGGAATCCAAAGGTCTGAGGTTGGATTCTTCATGGCCACTCAGATCTTTTTTTGTACCACACTTGTGGAAAGACCCAAAAAATATACAAATCTTAATCGTCAACTCGTCTGGGAAAACTTACTTGTGGCTCATAATTTACCTTAGTTTATATTACTGCAGTGACTTCCCTTCTGCTCTCCCTGGAGTGTATGAACAGACTGTGCGTGAAACTGAAAAGCTGCTGCAAGAAAGAGGACTGAATAAACTCACTTCCCAACAAAAGGACTTGCTGAAAGGACAAACAGAAGGAATCACATCTTCAGACCACACAGTGTTTAATTTAATTAGTAAGTACGCCAAATTGGTTTCCCCCTCGTTACACCGAGTGTCACCAGCATTGAACCCTTCAATTTGCCATCTTATCATTTCAACATACCACGGCTTCATCCTGGGCGTCTTTGGCCCAAACAAGGCCCTTTTAACTGGGTGTGGTCTTCGTGGTCCTACCGTTTCAGACTATCTGTTTCTTGATTGAACACTGCAATTCTTTCTGAGAACGCTTAGTCGGAAACTTAACTCAAATCACCACCAAGACATTGGTGCTTCCAGCAAGACATTAGTGCTTCCAGCAAACCCAGAACTTCTGTTTAGATCTCCTTCAAACTTGAAAAGTTTTTTTTTTATTCTGACACGTCCTTCTTTTTATTGTTTTTGGACAGCCACACGTACGTACGACTTCATGTTCAACAGCATAAAGAGACGATTTCTTCAAAAGGGAAGCAGAGAGAGCGGGCAATCCACCCAACCGAGTACCCCTCAGGGTCTAACAAGTGTGAATACGGAACTGTCCGAGATTACCGGCAGGTTTTCTCGTGTAGTTGGACACAACTTGGCTGTCTTCGTGCCTTTTTATGAGGACCTTCTCACTGAGATAAAAGGCTCTTGACAGTGACTTTTGATAAGCACGTGGCATCTTTAGATACACTTAATTGGAATAACTTTGTCTCAGTAGAAAGCAAAAGTGAAAAAATTAAAAAAATAAATTAAAAAGGAATTATTTTATAAAATCCTAATTATTCCAGTTTATCTTATATACCACAATTGTAAATTATGCTTAAAAAAATGAAAGGAGACGTTGGTAAATGAATTTAAATCAACTCAACCTGTTGACGTGAATTTTCTAATTGCCTTTTTCATGTTTGCTTTTTGCATTTTTCTAGACAAAGTTATTGTAATTAAGGTGTATATTAAGAATAGCTATACCAGAGGACTGGAATACGCTGTTGCCACTACTTCAAAACGGTTCTTTAGCGCTTTACTCGTAGCCTTTGTGTGCAAAAAATTTCTTGAACATATTTACATTATCCAGGTCACACTCTTGTTTAATAAATGATTTAACACTCTTAAATACACATTGTGTTCGCACAAGTTTTCCTGAAGGTGATTCATGTAATAATTTACATTTTGATGTGTTTTTGAGGGTTCGCTTTATCTCAAGTGACTTTTTAAAGATCATTTTATCTTTGACGGCTATAGAGTCGATTTCCTACATCGAAAGTAAAAATTTCAGCGGAGAGACATTATACTCACTCCTTTAGATATTACATTCTGAAGAGGAATGGTAGCTTACAAAGTTTTAGATAATTTAACGTTTTAGAAATTTCATGTGATATTTTAAAATATAAGTTATCGTGAACTGAATAAAAAGTGTGCGAAGAGGTTACCAACTCAGAGTGGCCTACTGTGATATTGCTACGTCCTGTGTTATAGGAATGACAATGATAACAAGAAGCACTGTTGCTTTATTAATCAAAGCTTGTTTTAGCTATGATACCATCTTAACCATAGTTTTGGGACCATTCATTTATCGTCTGGGGGGTCAGAGAATTTTTGTTGTCTCTATATAATTTACCTGATCTTCATAAAGCTGTGCGATATTCTGATAGCCCTTCCATCCCCTTCTAGGCGACCGAGGGTAATTTTTTAGAGTACGTGGAGGATAACATGGAGCTTTTATTACCGGTGGGGCATGTGATTAGCCTGCTAGCACTACCGCGCATGAGTATCTACAGCGCTTCTCTCGAGTTGAGCCTGAGAGCAAAGTGTGCCCGCGAGAGATACGAGAGGGTACTGGCAGGTGTGAGACCCTCGAACAGCCCCCACCGGTACGCTTCGCGAGAAGACCGCGAGATGCTCATCCATCAACAATTGACTGTTGTTGGTTAAGGAAGGGGAAGTTATTCTGACATTGATCCTAATGGCCCCCGTAACTGGATAAAAGAACTGAATTCAAGCCCTTTCTCAGAGTTTTCATTTTATTACGTAATAGCCACATTAAGCCCTATATTTTTTACTAAGCCATATTTCTTTAGAGTGTATTGAAGCGGCTAATGGCCCAAATGCAGACCTTTTAATTGACCTTTGTCTTATTAGCATATTGGCATGGTGACCATGTGGTGTTTCGTGCACCTACCTAACCAGACGATGGGTCAAGATGGCGTGATGCGGTCCGTTGATGTGTCGTAGAATGTTTTAGCGTCATATTTTTTGCCCTGAGTTAGATGTTTTCGCCGCTAGCTCGAGGGAAAGCTAATTGGGATGGCGATCTACAATGTGAAACGTACTCGGATCAAACGGTAAGACATGAACTGCTCTTTTTCTTTTGTTCACTCAGGTTTTGTGTTTATTGTGATTCGTATTTCACTGCAAATGCGTGAATTCACGAAAGACAAAAGATCGCGATGTCGACGAAACGAGAGTCTTGAAAATATTTGAATTTTAATTTGGAAAAAAATATCGATAGACCGATTAAAAGAAGGAATAATGCTAAAGTAAAGGGCTATTTTTGAAGCAGCTTATCGCTGCGGTTTGTCATCGTGTAGAAATACCAAGCTTATTGCCTGATTTGTCAAACCTTGCAAGATGGATGTTTAGAATTTCTGCTAAGTTCTTGCTTCGTCTTAGTCGCAGCTTTCTCTTTATTGACGTACGCATTCTGTTCCCTTGTAGCTGAATTTCACTTTTTGAGGGTTCAAGGGAAGCAAAATATTATTGTTATATTAGAGGTACCGCAAATATAATCTTACAGTCAGACCCCCTGACTGAAAACAAGGGGGGTGCAAATTTAGTCTTATTAATTATCAAGAACGTTACTTTTAAACGGGTGTTGTGGAAATCCTTATGGCGAAAGTAAGCCTTACAGCTGGTTAAGGAAATATGTCGGCTACTATTTCCAAGTTCTAATTAGAGAAGTTTGGATTACAAGAGATAGAGGATAACAAATGCAAACTTCAAGTCGGCTCAGTTAATTTTCCTTCTGTCCTAAAATTAATGAAATGTCACGATTGTTAATCCCTCAAAGAAGGCCCGAGCAAACAGCTTGTTCAAGGACTATACTGTCTGTGGACTAATGACTTGGTACTCATATTCCACTTGAGTAAAAATAATTTGTGCAAAATCATCCTGTCTTTTAAAGGATGTTTTACAAGCCATTAACAATCTAATCTGTTTCAAAACTAAACTTATAACTTGAGATCAGGCATTTAAAGAGTAATGCCTGATTGACTGGCAAATTTTGTCGGTGCATTTATAGTTTTTTTTGACCAGTGACACTGAGCAATTTTCAATTGAGTGTCAAAAGTAATCCAGTATTGCTTTCACTCAGTACATTGCTCTGTGATTGATCCAAAAACACTTACCCAAATTTTTTAACCAATCAGACTCAAAATGATAGGTGGTCTGAAATATGAAATTATCACTGGTAATTTAATTTGGACATAATACCAAATATTCTGAGGCTAGGTCTTCAAACAGGTGAATTGTCAGTAGCTAGGGTGAGTTATTAATTAAATAAAAATATTATTTACTTTTCTTGAGCTAAGGATAAAGAAAAAAATCAGTGCCTTGAGACAAGGAAAAAGTTTGGAGCCTATTGTTGTCTCTTGCCCTTCAGAAATGAACAAAAAACTTTCTCAAGGTCTATTCAATGACCCAGCTCAAGATTTTATTGCAATTCATGCTCATCAATTTTTTTCTTGTTACCAGTCCCCTATAGAGCCACTCCTACCTCATTTGACAAATCATTCATCATCTCGAAACAAATCAGCAAGATCAAGTGGCAGCCTCTTGTTGGAAGATGGACAACTTGCTCTCCCAAAGACATTTGTCACTCGTAAAGGTGCAATTCTTCTTTTCACCCCAAGTGATGAGGTTTGTAACCATAGTAATGAAGAGAGCCACTTCAAGAAAGAAAATGTTTTCGAGGCAGGCCTTAAACTCAGAACAGTAGGAAATCTAACCAACTCTGTGCTTGAGTTTGGCAAAGAGGTAAGATTATAAGATTCGGGGAGTTTAGATTTACCTATATCTTAGTGGTCAGAGAGATGGTAGGCAGATGTTAGAATGAATCTAGCCTTCTCAGCAGGCTGTCCTTTCTTCATTTTTCAGGCTCCTTGCCTGGCAAATGACTTCCCTTTGAACTCTCCTTGAGCTTGTCTTTGTGTGCCTGAAAATTCCCCCAAAAATATGCCTGTTCTGCAGGCTAGAACAAAATTTTTTGACTGTACTTTATCTTTAGAATTTCACAGCTGACTTTCAGATAATAAAATATCATTTTGTAATATCTAAACAGGAAGAGGAAGCCTGGGAAGGAGTATCAGACTATCCAAAGGAAGCATCAGAGAAAGGAGAGCAACCAAAGAGAGATAAGGCATCTTTCCTGAGATTTCTTCACTACCTTGACTCAGAAAACTTGACAGCTGATAAAAATGTTCAGCCAGGAGCTGATCCAGATTATTACCTTGAAGAGCTTAAAAAAGCAAGGTATGAAATACATAAGTCGAGAAAACACATTTGTAGTTCATAATCTAGAAAGAGCTTCCTAATAACATCTCTGTCTGTTTTTTGAGGGCCTTCATTTCCAAGTACTGGGATTCAAAATTTGACAAACCCTCCACATTTTGGAATACACTGAAAGCTAAAAGAAATGTTTGGTTATCTGCTTTTTAAGTAAGATCTATTTTCTTTGTATTTCAGGGGCCAAAATTCTCACAGAAGATTTCGATCACAAACTCCATTTTCCACAAGAACTTCACACTCTACCAACACTGCTTCTCACTACTCTCATTTTTTGGATGATGATGATGAGATAACTGGTATAATACAAGAATACATGAAATATGGCAAACCAGCTGGGTGGAGTCACAGCAAGGAACACTTAGAACACAGAATTGTTTCCTCTGATCACATGCCAGACATTGGAATGGAGGGGTAATTACTTCAAGAATTCAGATATAAAGGAAAATAGAGAGGGGTGGTGATTTTTAAGCTTCTTCATTGGAATAATTTGGGTGCCTGATAGAAATTTCTAAGGGCACACTAGTCAAACCTTTTATCATTGTTAGGGGCTCTATAGTCTAAGCAGAATAAGGGAGCTGAACTTCCTCTCAGTACCCTGAAAAAGTGATGGCTTTATTAGGTCTACTACCATCGTTGTTTACCTTATATTTATTATCCTTTCAATTACCTTCTCTCGTTCTAGTCGAGAAACTTTGGAAGACTTCTCCCACTTTTCATCGCCCGGATCACCCAGAACAAATCGAGGCAATACCATTACATTTTCGCCGTCCATGCCAAGTATGGCTTTTGGTTTTGCAACCCACGAAGCTCAAGACTCGATATCAAGACCCAAAACAGCTCCCATCCCACCCACCCTGGAGTCACCAAGGGCTAACCCCAGGATTACTAGTGGTAAACCACCCCCTCTCCCGAGAGGTCAGTGTTACATGCGAACGCTGTTTATAGCTAATTGGAGCACCTCTGGAAATGTTTCGACTTAAATTCGCCTCCGAAAAAGTTAGTATGAAAGGAAAGAAATTGATTGGAGAATTCAACCAATCAGAGTTAAACGTGAGAAACTCTGGTGTCATGTGCGGGAACATTTTGGACCATTAATTTTGCTTTAGTCATCGTTTTTTTTTTCGTTTTATGCCTATTGAAATGAAAAAAGATTTCCTTAGTTATCTCATTTAAAATTGATACAACCCGTGGAAGGTGTGCTTTTTGTTTGAAGCGTGTACAAATGGCTGTTGAGCGCGAGGCAAATTTAAGTGCGTTCTCTGTTTTTCCTTTTTAATTCGATAATCAGGGATTCTTTTTATCATAAATGATGTATGAGTGAAATCGAATCCGGTTCTGTTGGTGGACTTCCTCCTACAAGTTAAAATAATTGATGATACATTTCACTTTTCTCGCGATCATGTAGAAATCCGTCGTGGACTTGATCAGCTACTGACAATTACTAACGTTCCTTTAAAAGTCGATGAATTGTCGATTAA